TTTTCAAAGATATGATTTGAAGAAGCTGTAATTTTGTACAAACAATATTTTCGTGCACTTTTCTGTAAAACATCTTGGAATTCCTAAAAGACTCGAAAAGTAAAAAGGAGCATTCATGGTACTCGAGTAGTAATTTTTCCCGATTTTTGTTTTTGTAGGCAGCCGGAAAGAGGTTTGTTCCAGAGCCGGCATCCTCACTTGACTGAAGCATATTGGGATTATAGTGCAGCATCATGAATACTAAAAGCCCATCTACGTATTTTATTCCAATCGAAATCCCATTCGGAATGTCCGTTGCAATTTCTTGAGACAGGGAGCCTATTGTACATAGTTAACTTATTAGGGAGTTGGTAGATTTCAATAGTCTGATTGACCCAATTGTGAAAAATTCGTGACATCTGTGGGAGTCAAACCCACACAGCAGGGAAGGCTTTTGCGCAGTCAACGCTCTGCCATTGGGATAGGAGACTCACCGTGTAGCATGAATTGAATCACATTTGGATCGATTTTACCCGCCGAACTTACCATTCGTATGAAATCCATCATTAAGGAACAGCAAACTGCCTGCCCAGGCAGGATTTCCTAAGCAATCATCTAGAATCCACAAGAACGACTACTAGGCTCACTTAATTGTTTAAGAGGTTTGGCAGATGCCCTTAATTCAGTTGAACCAACTGTGAAAAATTCGCGGCCTCCATGGAAGTCGAACCCACACAACAGGGAAGGCCTTTTGCGCAGCCAACGCTCTATCATTTGATCTACGAGGCTCACCGTGCGCCGTGAATTGAATCACAGTTGGATCGATTTGCTTGCCCAGTTTTACTGCACGTATGGAATCCACCAATACGGACGCAGTAAGGTGACTGCCCAGGCAGGATTTTCTAAGTAATCATCTATGATCCACCGGATGGACTAATACGCTAACCTTGTTTGTTAGGGGTTCGACAGATGTCAATACTTCGATTTACGCAATTGTGATTAAATTCACGGCGCACGGTGAGACTCGCAGCTCATTGGTAGAGCGTTGGCTGTGCAAAAACCTTTCCTGTTGTGTGGGTTCGACTACCACCAAGGCCACGAATTGTTCGCAAGTGGGTCAATCGAAATACTTAACTTAATTAACGGCTGTCCGCGTCAGAAACATGAGAGTTGAAAAAAGTGCAGGCCTTTAATATCTACACAGTCAGCCAGACGAGTGGTGGAATGGGCTAAAGTACAGACAAAAGCGAAAAAAGTGGAAGTACACAGAAATACACAGAAGTGAATACAGGAAGACGAGAAAATGTCCATGCAGCACAGCGAGATGCTGCAGGCAAACCGCAAAAAGAAACTATGGTCAAAAAACTCACCAATACAGACTCCTTAACATGGACAAGGGGACTCTCGAGGCTGTCTATGATCTTCTCCAAGCCGAAGAGGTTTGTCGAAAGATTCACAAAGTCAGCGTAATCCTGGTTTATCAATTCGACTAGACTGTTCTTGAGAATATTGAAGTACTGAAGCAGACTGTCATGAAGAGATTCCAGAGATATGCCCATCTTGAGGCGATCGAGAACGAAGTTGTCCTCATCAAAATGTTTCTGTAAAGGGCATTCGACACACAGAGAACATGAAAGCCGACAAAAACTCAAGCTCGTTTCACAGTTGACGAGGGCGTACTAGATGCGACAGGCTATTGGAGGAAAGTGGATAACGCTACACTACGCCAGCTGCCTGCTTGAGTATGCCATAAAGCATAATAAGCGGGTCGCCAGTGGGGATCTATGTTTCGCTGATCGTAATGAGCACTCAAACACGACACCGTTGAAGTATTGACTTAAGAGGTAGCCCTTCTTAACGGTAAACAAGTGTGACAAACAACAAAAACTGAAATGACTGCGTTTTCAAAAGCAGCACGCAGACAGGCGCAGACTTCTCGCTATCACGCCAGGTTCTTATCAATGCTGAGCTAAAAGTACGTTTTAGTCTTCAGAGACAGCTTAAGCAATTTGTTTTTGATACTTAAGGACTGTGGTGTAGATAATGAATCATCTATCCAGGTCAGCGATGTGGAGCTCAGAGGACACAATTGATGATTGATGGTGGAAAATATATCGATCAAAAGTCGTGTAAATAAACGAGCCACCAGCAATTGAGAGATACAAGGAAATTTAGGACTCGTCAAGAATGGGTGAAAGGCGATACTTTATAGATCGCCAATAGATAAACTTCAAAAGGACATCAATAGGTTCTGCAAAACAACAGGCTCGCCTTAGTCAAATCTCACAATGATGCTGATTTGCTTCGATCCGCACACAGGTGTTTTCGATGATGATCCGCATGGTGCTTTTCCTCGGGTACGGACCTGTGGCAGCGCACCTCGAGAGCTACACTCACTCTTTTCTCCATGCATAAAGATTAGTCGCGGAACCAAATCCACATCTTCGGTAGAAGAAGTTCTTTGGGAAAGTGTTGTTTATTGAGTGAATTTTCG